ACGCCGGGGACACTGTATGACTACAATGTGGAGACATTGGTAGGTCGGCACACATGCAAGGAATCGGGCGAGCAAAGGGAAAATAAATATAATCGGCCTTCATGAAGGGGGCGGAAGGGGGCTGGGAAACGAAGATAACAGAACGTAGAAAGCGCATGAAAAGCCAGCTGACACAAGTAGGTAACCAAAAACAGACATGCATGCACAGACTGGAGGGCAATAACGAGGTGCTGGTTGTTTTCTTCTATTCTTCCGGCACTAAAGAGCTGAGATCACTAAAACGCACTCGGTGCTGCCCGTTATGCAGGAGAAATCACGTGGAACGATTTAAAAAAGCTAATGAAACGTGCTGCTACTAGTGGAAGGAAAGAACTAGGAGACACCTAAGAACGGGAGTTTGATTAGAAAAAAGCAGCAGCCATTTGCTCCAGCAAACGTAAAAAAGCGCAAATGAACGACTCCACCAAATTGCGCACACGCCTGCCTAACAGCCACAATTTTATGTGCTCTACAAGGTCACGAAGCGCAGGGGTTCGCCAAACATCTTCAGAAAGACGGTAAAATTACTAAAACCTTCAGTTTTAAAATAAAACTTTAGAAACTAAGGGAAAAGTTTCCTTCTGTTAGATGAGCACGTTTTAGTGAACAAACTGGTATATCCAAAAGATCCAGAAGCAAATGAGGCGCCGGGCTAGCTTTATTCAGTAATATTTGTTCATTCGAAAATTGAGACAGTAGCAAAGGCTTCGGACATGAAAATTCCGTTTGAGATCGTATGTACTGAACTGTGACAAATACTTAACCCAGACTGATAGAGTAGAATTCCACTACTACCTCTTAACTTTCCATGTAAGACGTAATTTCAGTTATTGGACGCCCAGAGATCCCACATCTAGTTTGCTGATCCAAGTACCCGTACGTGAATCAAAGTAGAAGTTGGGTGCAGGCTCCAGCGGAAAATTCGAAGACGCCATCGTGGGTAATCGATACGAGCACGAATAAAAGACGCCTCGGACATCCGGGTATCCAGTGGACAACCATTTTTTCTGCAAATGCGCCTGAACAACACACTACAGAGGTTCTGTGCTAACGTTAGCGTGGTGCGTGATGTTTACATGATAACCGACTGCGTTCATATGGGCTGGATTACCTCGGTTTGACGGACAATTAAATAGCGCATAGAGCTCCAGGAAGGTCCCAGCGGCACTACTAACTGATTTGGAAGGGCA